GAGAGAGAGAGAGAGAGAGAGAGAGAGAGAGAGAGAGAGAGAGAGAGAGAGAGAGAGAGGTAATCTCATCTAAGTTACACTCTGTGTTCACTTGTTTTAACCCTCTCTCAGATGGAGAAGATGCTGCAGATGGCGCTGAAGTCAGAGGACGAGCTCTTCCACATGGTGCTCTATGATTGGCTGCTTGAGATGGAACTGACAGACAAGCTGCTAGAGGTATGGTCCGACTCGATCGCAGTCCAGTCTCTGCAAAATATAATCTTATGGTCAGACTACTCCTGGAGCCCATTTTCAGAAACAAAATTATTCTTAACATTAATTTTAACGTTAACTTTTCCCAGTAGACTGGACCTGTGTACACTGCATGTGAGAAAGTCGTAACTTTTACCATATATCTGTCAACAGTCTACGAGAAAAAGTCAATGTTAGGAATAATGTTACGACAAATTTTGTTTCGGACAACACACCCCTGTTACATAGCCTCCATTACCCTCGGGTGTGTGTGTCAGGGAGAGCGGGTTGTCATCGCAAAAAGACCTTCAAATTGCATGAAAATGTCGATAAAATTTAAACCGGCAACCCATATTTTTCTGATAATGACCTACTTGACGAGCGAGAAAATCAACGGGTCTAATAATAAACAGACAAAAAGTACGCACCTCTACCAATCTTTCTCTGATAATGACATGCTTGAAGAACAATAATATCTACACATCCAAGAATAAACAGACAAAAAGTACACTCTCACACAGAGAATTCTTATGCGTACGTGCCTGCGCTAGTATTATTCCCGGTGTAGTTTCACGATGGCTCTCCCCACCGCCGCTTTCAGATCAAGTCTCCGTATGTCGAGTCGTACCTGAAGAGGGCGATGTCGCAGCGGCGGGAGCGCGACGACGACGACCTCGCGACCCTTGACCTTCTGTGGAAGTACTACGAGCGCAACCAGCGGTACATGTCTGCGGCGCGCATCCTAGCCAAGCTCGCCGACCGACAGGGGTGAGTCCACGCACGCACGTGCTTAGTGTCATCGTCACACCTGTTATTTGTCACCATGATGTGATGCGATGTGACAAATAGTGGTACATGTCGGCCGCACGCATCCTAGCCAAGCTCGCCGACCGACAGGGGTGAGTCCACGCACGCACGTGCTTAGTGTCATCGTCACACCTGTTATTTGTCACCATGACGTGATGCGATGTGACAAATAGCGGTACATGTCGGCCGCACGCATCCTAGCCAAGCTCGCCGACCGACAGGGGTGAGTCCACGCACGCACGCGCTTAGTGTCATCGTCACACGCGTTATTTGTCACCATGACGTGATGCGATGTGACAAATAGCGGTACATGTCGGCCGCACGCATCCTAGCCAGCGAGTGCATAAAAATTGCATCTCACACACGCAGAGAGAGAGGTGATAAAAATTGCATCCTCACACACGCAGAGAAGAGAGTGATAGAACAGCACATCACACACGTAAGCAGGACTGATGAAAAAACATACTCGCTTCGGGCGAGAAGAAATTTTTCATCTCGCGCGCCTGCGACATTTACGGCCCATATGTGCGACATCATAAAAGTATGAATTCGTATGAGTCATATGTGAGTGTAAAATGTCATCGGGTTTTTTGAAAGTCAGACGTCGTGCAAAGTTTATTGCAAAGTGGCGATATGTTTTAGACTAGTGTCTATTTAGGTTTTTTCAACAGGCCCCGGCCTCGGCGCAAGAACATTGGTTATTCGATACGCTTGAACTATAGCTCAATCCAATCTAGCCAGTGCATCTCGTACACATGAGTAGGGCATCAGCACCTTATGCCGTGTCATTTAATTATATGCACGTCTGTGTAGGTCGTGCACGTTAGCGCTGTGTTATGTACGTTAACGCGTGTGTCTATGCACGTTTACACTATATCATTGAGATACATCAAAGAGCATATCGAGCAGCCTCATGCTGTAGACGATCGTGCCCGTGGTTTGCAGGGTCACGATCACATCACAGTGACAATAAGATGCGTGGATCGACACTAAGCACGGGGTCACATCGCGGGGGGAACAAATAAAACGCGTGTGCTGATGACACTAAATGCTTGGCACCATCGCGGTGACAAGAACACGGACGTGACGATGACACTAAGCGGGGGGTCACATCGCGGGCGGTGACAAATAACACGCGTGACGATGACACTAAGCGCAGTTGTCACGCTCGCGGTGACAAATAACGCACGTGGCAATGACACTAAGTGTTACATCATACCACCTCATGTCACCTAATTGTCACATCATGTCACCTCGCATTATATCGCGGTGAAAACTAACATGCATGAGATGACCAACTATCCTCGCTGCGGGCGTTGCGCTGGAACGCACCGGTCAGGTCGCGCGAGCTTGGCTAGAGATTGCGTGCGGCCGGAATGGACCGCCTTATTGCACAGGTCGCATCACGGTCCATGGTGAACAAATAAAGCGTGTGACGGAATGACAAAGCGCGACGGGCCTGTGCGTGCGTGGGACTCACCCTGTCGGTCGGCCGAGCTTGGCATAGATTGCGCCGCCGCAGACATGCTACGCTATTGGTCAATATCGCGTCACATCATCGGTGACAAATAACTGCGTCGTGACGATGACACTATCCTCGCTCGCGTGCCGTGCGGGACTCACCCCTGTCAGTCGGCGAGCTTGGCTAGGAAATGCGCGCCGCAGACATGTACCGCTATTTGTCACAGCCGCGTCACATCATGGGCACAAATAACAGCGTGTGACGGATGACACTAAGCACGGCGTGCCTGAATCACCCTGTCGGTCGGCGAGCTGGGCTAGGAGGGCGCGCCGCAGACAGTATGCGCTGGCTTGCGCTCG